GTTATTAAGCATTGATCACGATCACGATTTCTGATTTTCTTTCCTCGAATATTTAATTCTGTTACGGGAAGTTCCAGCAATTTGCCTTAAGGCACGATGCCATACACCACTTGTATTCATTTTAAATTACTTTCACATTATGATCACATCGTTATAATATTCTATGTCCGCATGCGTTAAAAGGAAAAAATCTCCCCTGAGCATTCGTTAACAAATTAAATCTCGTTCCCGGAAATGTGTCTACTTAACCTTTTAATCCCTGGCTGCCGTCTTCTAAGAAGGGGTGCTTTGCTGATAGATTCATCCGTATTTACTTTGCCGCAGTTTGCATGTAATATAATTGAAATGTTTTTGGATATTTCATTCGAATATAATTTAGTTAATATCTAGCCCAGTGTTTATAACATATATCATAAAAATATTTTCTCTAATATTCATTTTATATTATACAATAGATGAGATAGTCATGCCAATAAAGCAACAAAGGTGTTAAAAAGGTAATATTAGTAAATCTTTAGAAACAGGTCCGATTTTGTTTATTTTTTTATTTTAATTCTTAATATTACTCAAAATCACAAATATTTTAGAAGGAAGACATTTTTCAGAAGGGAAGTTAAATATATTAAAAACACATTTCTATAAATGCTGGAAGTTTTACTGAGCATAGTACGATGGTTGTTTGTGATGTAGTTCATTCGGTTTAGACAGTTTACTTACTAATTGGACCTTCGTGCCGCGCCCTACCCTAAAAAATGTGTGCACAATTTCAAGTAAAATAGATTAACAATAACATACAATATAAAAAATTATTAATTGTAAAAAAAATCTGCATTAGAAAATTTACTATTGCAGCTAAATTAAATTGAATTTACACTTGCTCATACAGAAGTAAATAAAATAGGTCAAAACGTCGAATGACGGTCAAATATGAAAATTCGCAACTTGTGAATTGTGATATGTGCTTAGTAATGTTTAACAGATTAATTTCTAACTACTAATTTACATTTATGTTATTTGCAACTTTGTAAGTATTTTTTAACTTTAAATATTTCAAAACTTACTTACAAATTAAAACGCTTAATTTCTCATTATCGGTTTATACACATTTTTGATGAGATTATTCTGGAAATAGCTTATATTTCCTATTAGTATTATATTATGAGTTATCAATATTTTATCTAGTTCTATCTATATAAAATTTAAAGATTAAAATTAATCTCGAGGGCCTGAGATATTCATGGATTTTTCTCTCTAACAATTTACCAACACATGCAAACTACAAACGACGCATAAAACTTACCTCTCTTGTAAGAAAATTACGCACACTAAAGCTAAACATCATAAGAAAGTTTCTAGATTAACATTAAAAAACTCAAAAAACAATCATAACTTGATTATAAAATATGAACGTAATAAAATTTTTATATCTAAACATATATTGTAATTAAACTTAAATTTAACATGGCTGCATAACGCAGATATGCGTTAGACATATAGTAGACAGTAGTTTCATTACTTTCTCTACAGTTTGAAATAAAATTATAGCTTTTTTCTTTATATTTTCATTATGTATTCAACTCAAATAGATTATAAAATTGAATACGAAATCAGCTTTCTGCTTGGTGAATATTAAAACATCTCTCAATATCCATATATAAGAATACAAGCAATTAAGAAAAGTTGGGAAAACGTAATGAATTTATGAGCAGCTGTTCTAATGAACGTCGTTTTAAATTTAATATTTAATTTATTTCAATGTAGATCGTATGTATTGTTAATTATATGTTAGTGTCTCCAAGTGCTTAATTCTTATCAAAATTTAGACAACACAATATGCGTATTAGAAGCACCCATGATATAATATGACAATTAGGTATAATATCTAAAAAATCTGTTTACATACACACACACATACTTTTAATTAATTTGGTCTCATTCGATTCAGAATGGCTTGAAACGTCGAAAAAACATAAAATTAGCGAATCTAATTTTTTGATGAAAACATAAACTTCTTCGGAAAGTTAATAAAACACTAAACTAATAATAAGGAGATCGATTCTGGAAAAGAATCTTTGATAAAGTTCGTTAATAATTTTTATAGTAGTATGAATTCTCGCGTGGTACGGAAATATATTTTCTGATATTTAAAAATAAATTCGTTTTTTAAATTTCCTCATTCTCGAGTTTTAAATTTGTCGTCTACCCTACAGTTGATTTTGATGTTAAAAAATATTGAGATTTTTCTTTATTAAGGATTATTATCAAAATTTGTGAAATTAATTGATGTAATTTGTCTTATTTGGATATAACAATTTTTAAAATCTATCATTAACATAGAAATATAAATATGATAAATTATGATAGTTATTAACTTCCCGTAGGGTAAGTTATTGTAATGGGCCGAAAATCGAAATTGAAAGTTTTTACATTTCTCGACGTTTTGAAGGTTTCTGAACATTTTGGCATACCCCAAAAAAATGGATGTGTGTGTGTATGTATGTATGTATGGATACAATTTTTCGTCTACGTTTTCGGGCGCACGGATCAACCGATTTGAATGGTTCAAAAAACATTCGATCTCTATTGATAAGGAGATGTGCTAATTAGTTTTTGGCAAAGGCAGGTCCAGCCGTTACGGAGATACGGAGCAATAAGTGCAGAAAATAGAAATCGAGTTTTTGAGTGAACGGAGCATCCGATTTGAATGATCTAAAAAAACATTCAATTAGTAATGATTGGGAGAAGTGATTATTAGTTTTTGGCAATGGCAGGCCCAGCCATTTCAAAGATACAGAGCTAAATGTACAAAAATGGCAGTTTTTGAAAGAACTAAGCGTCCAATTTAAATGATTCTTTTAGCTTGGTTTAACAAAATAATTGATTTTAGAAAAAAAAATGTATCATTTTTTTTTAGTTTTTTTGTTTATCGAAAATAATTCAGATTTTATTTTTAATTTTGACTAAAGTTTTAATATACTAAACAAATAATTTTAACTTTGCAATTCAGTTTATATAATTTTTATAAATATTAGACAATGTTACAATATTTATAATAATCTATTTGAAAACATTCAGTATTTCTTGAACATTTCGTTACGGTACGGAAAGTTGCAGCAATTTGCCTTAAGGCACGATGCCATACACCCCACTGGTTTTAATTTAAATTATACAGATTTTTGTAAATCTAAACTTTCAAAGGGTATTTCTCTAACTAATTGATTATCTACTTTCTGATAAAGCCAAACGCATCTTATGAACAAAATACTATGTTAAATATTTCACTCCACAACTACATTATCTTTTATTCCGCTTTCTTATTATAATTCAGCAAACCTGCACGCAAGTTGACAGAGCATTTCGGATTTAGAAATTTGGCGCCCTGGGGCACTGAGAAAAATGCTGCCCCATCCCTGAAATTTTACTTAAATTGTTTTTATACATTATTCCAGTACCAAAAATTAAAATTAAAAAAATAATAACAATATTTTTTGAATACTTAAAATATAATCAATTTTTGAAAATTTTGTTTTTTTTTATATTTTGAAATTTTTTGCAACACGAATGCTTTAAAAAAAGTTCATAATTTTAAAAATATCAATATAGATATAACTAGTGGGGTGGGTGGCATCGTGCCTTAAGGCAAATTGCTGGAACTTCCCGTACCGTAACGAAATGTTCGAGGAATACTGAATGTTTTCAAATAGATTATTATAAATATTGTAACATTGTCTAATATTTATAAGAATTATATAAACTGAATTGCAAAGTTGAAATTATTTGTTTCAACAAAAAACTAAAAAAAAAAAAAAAAAGGAACAAAAATTTTTTTTTCCAAAATCAATTATTTTGTTAAGACAAGCAGAAAGTTTTTTGAATCATTCAAATCGGACGCTTAGTTCTCTCAAAAACTGCCATTTTTTACATATTTAGCTCCGTATCTTCGAAATGGCTGGGCCTGCCTTTGCCAAAAACTAATAAACACTTCTCCCAATCATTACTAATTGAATGTTTTTTAGATCATTAAAATCGGATACTCCGTTCTCTCAAAAATTCGATTTCTATTTTCCGCACTCTTTGCTCCGTATCTCCGAAATGGCTGGACCTGCCTTTGCCAAAAACTAATCAGCTCTTTTCCCTATCAATAGGAATCGAATGTTTTTTGAACCATTCAAATCGGTTGATCCGTGCGCCCTAAAACGTGACTGGAAATTTGTATCCACACATACATACACACACACACACACATACACACACACACACACACACATCCATTTTTTCTGAGGTATGCCAAAATGTTCAGAAACCTTCAAAACGTCGAGAAATGTAAAAATTTTCAATTCCGATTTTCGGCCCATTACAATAACTTACCCTACGGGAAGTTAAAAAAAAGTTTTTTAAAGGGCATTTTTTTCATTTTTCTACAAATTTTAAAGCTTTTTATAAAATGTAATTTTCAGTATGAGAAGTATCAGTAATTTGCAGTAATTAATGGAACAATGCCATGCGTCACTAGTTAATTTTTTTGCGCTATAAGCTTGGAAGTGCACAAATTCGTCATCTTAAGAGTGCTCGAGCTCTGAAGAACATATTTTTCTTAAACTCTCAGCTCGTTTACGAAACTTTATATTAGCCAAATTGCCAAATTTGATAGTAACTTATTAACCAATTTGATAATTTACGTTCGGAGAGGGAGGCAAAGCAAAATAATAAATTTTTATAATCGGCTGTTTGAACCCAAATTTTGCTTTGCAATTGTATTATGTTTTATATAAATTAACAAAAGTTAATTATATTTCTTGAAAAAATTAGTTAATTATATTGTATAGCATTTTTTTCTCACTATCCAAATTTTGCCGCCCCTAAAATCTGTCACCCTGGGCAGTAGCCCCGACTGCCCCTACTGTAAATCCAGCACTGTATAGATCTATTATTGTCTAATATAAAAGTATTATTTATTTTGGTTAATTTTTGTTTATATATGATTATTTTCTCATCTATAGAAATTGGGAACAATGCGATCCGGCACAAGATCAATTATCGATACGTGACGGCCTGGAGTCCTCGTCTCCGGAACTTGCTCGGTTGTGCGGCGGCGGCGGTGACGCATTTCCGGACGTCGTCACCAGCGGACCGGAAATGCTGCTCGAGTTCAGGACGTCGCCGAGCGACAGCCCATTTCATCCGGTGCCCGTCACCTATTTGCCCGGATTCGAGCTCGAAGTTCAGGTATTTCGCTTACTTTTTGTACTGTTATACTGTCAATAAACAATGCAAACTTCTTTATAATCTAATACTAAAAATATATGTTATAATTTATCATATCGAAACTTCATACTCATCAAATATTCTTTTTCTCTTTTATGAATAAATTTTATTATTCAACAAAAAAGCTTTGAAAATAAGTTCTATTAAATAATCCATTTACTGCATTATATACAGTGCTACTTCAATCATAAATTGAGTGTTGGTTTTATTAATACTATTAAAAAATGCATATATATATATATATATATATATATATATATATATATATATATATGTGTGTGTGTGTTCTTATGGCTATTTATTTCATATAAGTTGTATTATTTATTTCATATACCTTACTTTTTTATATAAGTTAATAAGTTAAATTATTCTATTTTGATTATAGTCCCAGTAAAAAAAATGAACTGATTAAAAATCATATTTTAAGAATAGGAAAGATGATTACAAGTACGTGAGAAGTTTTATATTATATTAATGTTAAAAATAACACCAAACCAATTAGTCCCTTATTAATTATATACCTATATACAATGCATATCCTAAGATCATGGATGTATACAATGTATACAATGTTGGTTTTGTTAATAATAATAAAATTATAAGTGCTTTCAACTACTAATTGTATAAAATTAGTAGTCGAATCATGCATACTTTAAGGTAAGGTTTCCCAAGAAGATTATGCAATAATATTAAGCGCATTTAAATTGAAAAATAATCTATGCCATTTCCCTAGTAGAAATGAATCGTGGCCAGACGAGTAAAAAATCGTGGTGCAATATTCAAATCTTGTTTTTAGATGGGCCGGACAATATTTGTCTTCAAAATTATGAAAAATTTGAAAAATTTATGGACGAACTGTTTTATATGGTTTATTACAAATAAAAAACATGTTTCCCATATTATTTACAGGTCCAATTTTATATTTTCACAAATTATTGGCATTTGGTGGACGACCAAGATTCGTTTATTCAGTATTATCGAACTTGGGAAATACATGATATGTATGTGGGTCACAAAAATTAATTAGCACCAAAAACATGATTGAAGCATTTAAAAAGTCATATGCTTGATCACAATTAGTAGTTTGATATACATTTTTCATATTATTCAATATAATTTGTAAATCAGAGCGAAATGGGAGCATTTAGCTAACGACTTAATAGTTGGCTTTTGATTAACACACACTGAAATTTTAATTTTTGTTTATTAAAATAGGCATTTATTTGTTTTTCAAAAATGTGCTTTTGTACGATTAAAGCGCCTATTTGCCTTAAAAGGAGAACCCGCGATCACAATTAGTAGTTTGATATACATTTTTCATATATTCAATATAATTTGTAAATCAGAGCGAAATGGGAGCATTTAGCTAACGACTTAATAATTATTAAATGGTGGGCGACTTAATAATTATTAAATCTATATTTAGTTGGCTTTTGATTAACACACACTGAAATTTTAATTTTTGTTTATTAAAATAGGCATTTATTTGTTTTTCAAAAATGTGCTTTTGTACGATTAAAGCGCCTATTTGCCTTAAAAGGAGAACCCGCGCGTTGCTCGTCTCGGATTTTGATGAAACTTGGCACAATGGTAGATTTGATGCCCAAACTGACTCCGGTAAAATATTAGAGGCCTATGAAAAGCGGTTTAATTATAAAAATTAATTAAAGTTTGCGTTGTAGCAGCGCGCGGCATGCATAGCTTGCGATGTTCTTCCTTATCAACAGCAGATTGGCCGAGTGGCTATCGTTGTGGAATTCTAATTTTTGCTCCGGGGTTCAATTCCCGATTCAGATATATTTTTTTTATTTGATATTTATAATTTCATGTGTAAATAATATCAAAATTTATTTAATTTTTCAATTAATTTTATATTTTTCGCTAAATATTCTATAATAAAGTCATCCGCAATACCGGTAAATTTTTATTTTGATATTACTTATGAAACTTACGATCATACGTGTATAAATGTTAAGTGATTCCTGAAACATTATAATTTTATATTAATATCAGCAATAATACGGAAAAAGAGATATAATTTATTTCCATGTGAAAACTATGTTCAAATTTACAATTGTGGGGATCGTGGAGATTGTGCTGCAGTGAATAAATTTTATTAATGTTTTCAAGTCATATGTCGAAAAGGATTTTTTATATTAATATTAGATTCTTGGGCTGGTCAAACGTACAAAGTATCATCCTCATAATAGTAAATTTGAACATAGTTTTTAATTGGATAAATTATATCTCTTCTTCCGTATTATTGCTGATATTAATACAAAATTATAATGTTTCAGGAATCACTTAACATTTATATGATCGTAAGTTTCATAAGTAATATCAAAATAAAAATTTACCGGTATTACGAAGGACTTTATATATATAATTTAGCGAAAAATATAAAATTAATTAAAAATCAAATAAAATTTTGATATTATTTACACGTGAAATTAAAAATATCAAATAAAAAAAAATAAAAAAAAATATATCTGAATCGGGAATTGAACCCCTGAGCAAAAATTAGAATTCCACGACGATAGCCACTCGGCCGATCTGCTGTTGATAAGGAAAAACATCGCAAGCTATGCATGCCGCGCGCTGCTACAATGCAAACTTTAATTAATTTTTATAATTAAACCGCTTTTCATAGGCCTCTAATATTTTACCGGAGTCAGTTTGGGCATCAAATCTACCATTGTGCCAAGTTTCATCAAAATCCGAGACGAGCAACGCGCGGGTTCTCCTTTTTAGTCGTATCACCTGTAGCCTTAGTCGTGTCACGTATAAAAATAAAACCTAAAGTAAAATAATAATCACTAGAAGTAAAAAATATACCAGTTACAAAATTGTTAAGTCTCCCGATGTTAAGAATGTGACTATTGCTTAAAACGTTCACGCCAGCGTGGGCCACCGGTGATCCGTATTTCTAAGACAAAATGTTAAAATATTCTTGCGATATTATTGCTCATTCTTTGTAAAAACATACTATATACATACTTATAAAGTCCTTTCCGCAGACGGCCACTCAACCAGTGTGTGATAAATTATTATTACAATTTATGTAAAAATGTGAATATTTATTGATGCAGCAGTGCCGGATAAGAACTATTTTCACTTGGAAACGTATTGCTATCTATATGTCCAGTGAAAATCGTTGTCACTACTACTTGACGATAGGCTGTTCGAAACGAGAGCAAAACCTGGACCTCTGATTCAGGTCCAGTCTAGATCTAGATACTTCTACGAGCGAGGCCTAAAACATACTAATGATATTTTATTTTTTCAACTGCTAGGATTAATAATGTATGTAATTGAATAGTGTATTCTTAATGGATATTATTTTATTACAAAAGCAAATTATAAAACTTAACAATTGCTCAAAACATTGTCATATACTTTTTAGCGAAATGAATTTTAATTTGTAATATAAGAATATGTAATGTCAAAATATTACAGCGGCCCTGTCAAAATTGTTTATCGTCCTTGGGCCCTTCAACGCTACGACGAAATTGCTAAAGACAAGGCCTTACACTCAATTCTCGCACTGTTCAATCCCCAGAGATCGCATTGAATGTGACACCAAAAAATAATCCCACGCCCACACTTCTTTCGCGACGTTGATAAATTCAATATCATAAAATGAAACACAATGCTCACAGCAAAATAATTTAGGAGAGACCCTTTAGAACGACCGGATTAAGCATCGTTATATTGTAGAAACAGCGTGAAATGTTGATCAATATTTTGATCTCTTTAAACCGACTTTAAAGTAATGTGACCAGAAATTCATTGAGCCAAGTGCGACAAATAAGCTGAAATTATAATTGAAAATACGTAATCAAACAAAGTTTATAGATCTATTTGAAACACATTATTTAAGACTTCATTATTATTTAAAATTATAAAATATTTGGGTAAGATTGGTTATGTGGTACCCCCAAAGAAAATAAAACTTTAATTTTTAGTGCAATTAAATTAAAAGAAAATATTTGGCGTTTACTGAACATTTATTAACTTGGCTTATGACAATAATTACTATTAGTTAATTAAAACTTACTATTTTTTACTAAAAATAAATGTTTTTGCATTTTTTAAGAATGTGCTCTCGGTACCGCGCCTTTTCAATTAGTCGCACCACCTATAGCCTTTGGTGCCTATTACTAAAAAGTATATAGAATTCAGTCTGTGATCAACTTGTTTTAGTTATTAATTATCAAGTAAAACAAAATCATTAAATAAAATCAAAATGCTTAAAAGTATCGAAAGCTCTGAAAATATACCCGTTATTGTTTAAAACCTGCTTGGTGTTTCTGAAATTGAGGAAAAGCTTTGCTATATTGTATTTACCCGTATTTAAAAAAAAAGGATAAAATTCTCTTGACGTAACATAAGTATATGAAATGTCAGAATCATTTTATTGCCACAAAATGCTTACGACTGAATCAAAAAATTCAGTAGAAACTTTATGAAAAGCTTATTTTTTAAATATTTCGGTTGCACAAAGTCGGACAGCCTTCCAATTTCAAAAGCTTGCCTCAATAACTAAATAGGTTTACCTAACAGTAACAGATATAATTTAAATTCATTATACAGAATATATCTGGACGACTTTTCTTGACTTGTTAGGCAGTGGTACGATTTGAGCAACCATACTCTAATTTAAACAACAAAATTTTCATTTGACTTCAAATTTGCATTTAAAAAATTATTTGTATATATAATTACTAGATACTTTTATATAGTTTGAACTATTCGGTTATGGTTTATAAATATTTAATGTGATTTTTATAAACTATAACCTAATAGATCAAACTATGTAAAAGTATATATCAATAGAATGCTATTGATATTTAAAATTAACTTTCTATTAAGTATAAATTGTAGTCACATTCGTAAAATTGCAATTATACATCTAATAAATCTATATTTTGAATTTTTTATAGTAATATGTTAGTATACATTTAGTTAAAAATAACTGTTTTGAATTTAAATACAATGTATTTATGTACAATTTGTATACATACTGACATATTTATATAAAATGTTTTAGTTATATATTATGATAAGTGAGTCGCAAACACCGCATTTTGCAATCACAAATTGTTTGTTATTATGAGATTGCGTGTATTTAATTGCATATGAGAAATTGCATATAAATAATAACATTTTAATAACATTTTGATCCCAAAATACGTCATTAAATCTTACTCAATAAGTTCTAAATAAATATTTCACATATTACTACTTTTTTCTTTTTTTGTATGCTCGTTTAATGCGTGCATCTATACTTAGCATATTAAATTTTCTGGTTATTATATAAAGTCCACTTCTGAAAATAGATATATAAATTACTTACTAACAACTACTAACACTAGCAATAAGTAAACAGTGCATTATTTAAATTTATTTTTATGTTTTTAAGTATTAAAAATTAATTATGAAAAACTATGATAAAAAAATTATTTTTTCTGAAACTGGGCGGAAATGAACTCTTACCTTAAAGCAATAAAAGTTGCATTAGCTTCCCGATATTTATAGATAATATTTTATAAAAACTTCAATATTTTTTTATAATTAAACCACTTTTCGTGAGCCATATAATTTAGGATATTCGTTAAAACCTTGAGATCTATTGCTATTCAAAGTTTCAACAGAATCGTCTAAAAATTTCGAGTTTCACCAAAAACTAATCAGTACGATGAACAACTAATATTGTTCAAACGGTTTTTAAATTTTCATAATCGGTTCACAACTTTTGCAAAAATTAAAAATCTTGCACAATTCTGCTACTTCTAAAGAAACGGTTCGGCCGATCGTCCCACAAATCAATGCAAGTTGTCACTGACTTGATCAAAAATCAAATTGCATTTGAATTTTCAAAATCGATGTAGCCGTTTTTGCAAAATTTTGACTTTGATTCTGAGTGACTTCACGTGACAAGAAAACACAAATTTAGCAAATTGCATTTACTGAAAACAAAATAAACTTCCAAAACAAAATAAAAATTGTAATAATTATTATAATTTATTAATAAGATAATATTTTTAAGCATATAATGAATATAGTATAAAATAAACATTTATATATATTCATAAAAATTCTACACTTAATTTTTACAATTTTGTGGAATGCATATAATGATTTTCATTATACAATAAAGCTTAAATGGAATGTACAATTAGATAAAATTTCAATTAACTAATTTTAATTAGATACATGATACACATTGCAGTAATAGTTTGCATTTAATGCAATAAGTATGCCAGATATTTCACATCTATCTATATATGCTTAAATCTTCAATGTTTATATATTTGTACTTTCATCATATTTCAATTAAACTAAATCAATGTTGTTCTTCTTTGACTTGTAAATCACTCGTATTGTCTGATAAGTAATGATATTTTACAAATCGTGATCCTTGAACAACCTGTGCTGTTGCATTTGTTATATGGCAAGCAAGAAGTAATAAATTTCTAGGTTGGACCTTCCAAGCAAATCTCATAAAAATACAGGAATATAATGTTAGAGCTGTAATAAAAAAAACAGAAAGAACAATTACTTTGACAATTTATATTTATATAATTTAATTAATTCAATATATTTGTTATAGTCTTAAGCCTACATTCTGATTTTTCTTTCTTATTATAAGATATAATTCACATTACGATTATTAAAAATAGAAGATAAAATTGAGGCAATAGAAATCCTGAAATAATTTTTATTCAAAAATCTCATTGTATATTAAAAATCACCTGAAAATCTTTTTATTTATGAAAGAGAAGTGCAAAAAGCATTTACTGTATTAACAATATTGTATATTACATGAGAACATTTCATGTAATTGAAAATTTTAAATTTATAGCGAGAGTGTGAAAGGCTATGTGTACACAATGATTTCTATAGAATTTTTGATCAGAAAACAAGTTAGAACTGCGAATAACTTAATATGATTTTATATTCGCAAATAGGAAACAATTATATGTAAAAGAATTATACTTTACCAACAGTCATTTTTCCACTTATATACTTTGGATCTTTGAATGAGTCGGTTATGGCAGCAATAGGTATTCCCCAGTTCACAGCAGGTCCCCAGAAATGAGTGCTAAAACCATAATCGAATATTAAAATATTCAATGTACGTAAAATAATTTAAAGAAAATAACTTACCTCATTAAATATTGTCTGAACTCTTTGCTTTTTAGCTGATCTGTTAATTTTCTTCCAATTGTTGCTGCCATAGTTAAAATGTATACACAAAGTATTTAAATATCAAACTTACAAGGCCAAAGTTAGGTTAACCTTAAATAATTTTTGTAATAAAATAAAGTAAAAATATAATAATAATAATAATATATTTAACACATAGCACGAAATAAATATATTTTGATTCGTAATTTTTCTAATTTATATTTAAAGGATTAAAAGATTTATTAAAATCAGTCGTGCTATGTGTTGAATAAATTAATATAAACTATGGAATGATATCTAGAAACTTATTTATGCACATAATTAATTACACATATTTTTATTGGACAATCATTTGACAGTCCAATGTCAAATGACATTGGTTAACACGTGTAGGTTTTTTTGACGTTTCTTTTTTGAGGTTAGAAAATGTTTGAGTTTGCACTTTTGCCATACTTTTGCACATAAAAAAAATAGTGCGTGAAATTCCTCCGCGCGGAAGTATTTATACTTGTGGAAATGTAAATCAGTAGATAATTATAAATTCAGACAAACATCATTAATATTGATTTATTAACAATTGGCATCTTTAATGTTAATTGTTAATTGTTAATTGTTAATTTTTTTTCAATTTTCGAGTGCATGAACATCAAAATCTCTAACGTTTCCAGTGGGATGGATTATTATAACTATAGTAAGATACCGAATGATTGACTTCTGTTTTCTTTAATATTTCTTCCAAAAACTGCATCAATTACAGCATATTCAGAACACAATACAATACTTTCGCTTTACATAAATTTTTCGATTTAGATTTTGAATCATCTACTGCAGACAAAGGCAGAATCATAGATAGAAGAGCATATCAAATTACAGACGAATTATATCAAAAGTGTTTGTTTTTGACAAGTCCCTCAAATTGGACTGGATTGTCTTGGACAGATCAACTAACACCTTGTGCATCCCTGCCATTTTGCAATGTATCATAAATAAGCCACCGTGTTGTGGAAAGCCTAAGAAATGGATGTTAGGAAAACATTGTATGCGATAAACCACATTTCTTCCAAAAACTGCATCAATTGCAGCATATTCAGAACACAATACAATATTTTCGCTTTACATAAATTTTCCTATAATATCTGCTCTAGTGATTTTGAATCATCTACTGCAGACAAAGGCAGAATCATAGATAAAAGAGGAGTATATCAAATTACTGCCGAATTATATCAAAAGTGTTTGTTTTTAACAAGTTCCTCAAATTGGACTGGATTGTTTTGGACATATCAACTAACACCTTATGCATCCCTTCCATTTTGCAATGTATCATAAATAAGCTACCGAGTTGTGGAAAGCCTAAGAAATGGATGTTAGGAAAACATTGTATGCGATAAGCCACATTTCTTCCAAAAACTGCATCAATTGCAGCTTATTCAGAACACAATACAATACTTTTGCTTTACATAAATTTTCCTATAATATCTGCTCTAGTGATTTTAAATCATCTACTGCGGACAAAGGCAGAATCATAGATAAAAGAAGAGTATATCAAATTACTGCCGAATTATATCAAAAGTGTTTGTTTTTAACAAGTTCCTCAAATTGGACTGGATTGTCTTGGACACATCAACTAACACCTTGTGCATCCCTGCCATTTTGCAATGTATCATAAATAATCCACCGAGTTGTGGAAAGCCTAAGAAATGGATGTTAGGAAAACATTGTATGCGATAAGCCACATTTCTTCCAAAAACTGCATCAATTGCAGCATATTCAGAACACAATACAATATTTTTTCGCTTTACATAAATTTTTCTTTAATATCTGCTCTAGTGATTTTGAATCATCTACTGCAGACAAAGGCAGAATCATAGATAAAAGAGGAGTATATCAAATTACTGCCGAATTATATCAAAAGTGTTTGTTTTTAACAAGTTCCTCAAATTGGACTGGATTGTTTTGGACATATCAACTAACACCTTATGCATCCCTTCCATTTTGCAATGTATCATAAATAAGCTACCGAGTTGTGGAAAGCCTAAGAAATGGATGTTAGGAAAACATTGTATGCGATAAGCCACATTTCTTCCAAAAACTGCATCAATTGCAGCTTATTCAGAACACAATACAATACTTTTGCTTTACATAAATTTTCCTATAATATCTGCTCTAGTGATTTTAAATCATCTACTGCGGACAAAGGCAGAATCATAGATAAAAGAAGAGTATATCAAATTACTGCCGAATTATATCAAAAGTGTTTGTTTTTAACAAGTTCCTCAAATTGGACTGGATTGTCTTGGACACATCAACTAACACCTTGTGCATCCCTGCCATTTTGCAATGTATCATAAATAATCCACCGAGTTGTGGAAAGCCTAAGAAATGGATGTTAGGAAAACATTGTATGCGATAAGCCACATTTTACTCACTTTCATGAATTGCTCATTGAGTATTTTTACTGCCCTTGTAAGTTGTATGCAAGTGCAAGCAGCTTTCACTTTTTGCCTTCTTAGAGCAACTTCTACTTTTTCCTTTAGAGCAACTTCTACTTTTTCCCTTGGAGTAGCTTCCACTCCTTATGATCAATATTGTTAGATCATTTCTATCATTTAACATTTTCAATCCCTATTTGTCTTTTACTCCTCGTGACGATATACAAGTGCCATTTTGGGCAATAACGAGCTACACACGTTACCGATTGCAAGAATGTTGTGTGCACTTGCACTTACATAAAAACATTGTTTATATTGCGGAAATTATATTCATTTTATTATGTTTTATGATTATAGGTCGAATAACTTTTTATAAAGTTGCAAATATCTAGTTACACATTTTTAGTCTGCTCAAATATATTGCAAAGAAATTATATTTAATATTGAGCATTATCAAGTTGCCATTTATAAGGTCCGCGGAAGACCATCTACAGGTGATACTCCATTACAGCTACAGGCAAAAAATTGGGCATATTTTCCTAGACATATTCCATCAACAACAAATAAAGCAAAACCATCTAGAATATGCAAAGTAAGGGAACTAAGGGTGGGAAAAGAAGCGAAACAACTTGGGAATGTAAATCTTGTCATTCTTTTACAAATTATATATATATATATTTTTTTTGAATAAATTCTATTTCATTTCTTATCAATTTGTTTTATATTCTAAGAAAATGGATCAAAAATTTAAATGATCTTTTTCGGCACTGTCCAAGCTAGACTAATTTCACAGTTAGAGGGTTAAGGTTCTTTAAGATTATTGTTCCAGTTCTAGGTACCCAGAAATTCATAATTCAATCTACAAAAAACACAAGACCACTAACAATAATCAATTTCTTCTTCAGTAATATCTTGTGAACACGGTTTGTGAATCTCCAGTGGGTAGTGGCAATAAAAATCATGTCTACATTATAAATGAGAATTAGAATAAACTTTTTTGCTATGGTTGACTATATATGACTGTGTACTCTACAGCATACTAATATATCCAATTGTTGTTGACATTAAAATAATATTGCCAAAATTGCCTGTCTGCCTTTAAAAATTAAATATAATAATGGTTTTGACTTATAAGAAATAATATGTATAGTAATTTTATTACATGTTATTATTAAAACAATAAAATTTATATTATTTTATTATTACTTATTTATACTATCTAAAAAAAATGAAGTTATTATATATTTAATTATAGTACATATGAATTATGAATTCTAAATCTTGCTGATTTTACTAATCTGTTTGTTACATGCTTATAATTATTCATTCCTTTCTAGGTAATATTTGTGAACACGCAATCACACAGTTATGTGCGTAATCCAGGACACTGTGAGTTTATTATAAGTGCCTTTGAGGGTTCTTCAGGAATTATAGAAAATCCTAGACATTCACTACCACCTCAAACCGCTTGTCGATACTATTTTCAGGTGAATTACTGTTTTCATATTTCAAAAATATAACACTTATAAAGTTTTTTACAATGAATATGATACTGGTTATATTATAAATATTTCAATATTATATGAGTAGTTGCATTGTGCATTTATTAATACAAATATATTTTTTAATGATCCTTCCTCTTTTAAAATAATGCAATATGTTTTATATGATAATATCTATATATTATTCAAATATATTCATTTAATTGAAATATTTTACTAACTAAAATATAGGGTAGACATCATGAGGTTGTGTGGTTATCGTTTGTAAAGTATCATGCAGCTCCTGATCCTGCCACTTTTGGACCGCCAACGGAGTGTTTTGCTCAACTTAAAATTTGGGATGGTAGAGCATCCCTTGGTAAAGATACTAATTCGGAGTCTACAGATTCACAGGTGAGTTTTTTTATAATTGATTTTAATTTCTTATGTATATGCTAACAAAATTTAAAGTGTGTACTCCATATTAAAAAGTATTTTTTACGTAATTGTAAAGTCTTTATGGAGATTTTATTTTTATTTTTTTAGAATGTATATAAACAAAATGCAACTCTATTGGGTGAAATATGTAAAGAAGAAACTCCGAAACTTTGTCCTAGAAGCTTGATTTCAAAAGGTGCTCGGCCATGCTCTCCTACAGGTAAATGAGTAATGATAAATTTTCCAATGATTAAAAAAATATAATAAAGGCGCTTTCAATTTTATATGATTATATCAATCATACTTTTTTTGTAAATAGTTTTAGATTCTGATGTGATTGATGTGAAATATAATATTCAATGGAATTACTTATTGGACTATTGAGATTTAGAACCTTATATTAAACCTTTATTAAATATAGAATTGCTTATTAAAGTAGAAAGTATATAAAAATCAATTTAATCAGAATGCTAATTTCAGATTTCTTTGATACTAAACAACATTAGTAAGAAATATATTAAAAGTTACATATTAATTCAAAATAGAAAGCAAAATTTAATAGTGCATCAGTGATTTTTTTTACTATAATAAATAACAAAAATACAAGGATTTCTTTACATTGATATCATTCATATAAATCCGTTTTTAAATTTGCAGAGAGTTACTTGTCATCAGGGTCTGATATGACTCTAGAATACCGTGTTGGTAGAAGTGGTCCTGCTCCAATATTCAAACTACGATATGAGTTTGTAGACATTTATATGGGAGGTGCTGTAATAACAAGTGATCCATCATCCCATTCTTCAGCTCTGCTATCACAACCTTCACCTCTTTATCAAATGGCAGAGTCACCAGTGACATCAATAATTTCACCTTCGTGTAATAGAGTTTTTAGGTCTACAGCCGGAAGCAGAGGAGTATTTAAATCACCTCAAAATGTTTTTCTTTATGGAAGAGGAGGTGCACAAAATTTAAGTTGCATAATGAGATTTGAAGGGGATCCTGGTGAAAGCATAAGGTTTGTTTAAGTATAAATTATGTTATTATAATTATAAGTAATAATATCATTTTATTGCAATATTTCAAATATTTATTCAATATTGTTCAAAGAGTTAAACTTATACCTGTATTGGAACAATGATTGATTACTTATACATAATGTTAAATATCTCTGTCAACAAAATAATTTTGATTGAAAAACCCACTCAGACTGCTATGCTAGGTTTTTGCTTAATTGGTTGGGAATCGTGCTGATTATTTTGTTTCATAATTAGCTGTTGAAATTTTTTACTTTTGACTATTTTTACGAAAATTTTTCAACGTTCAAGAATCATGGAATTAAAGAATATACTAAAATATTAAGACCCAACAACGAGTCAATCAATTTTAAAAATCTATCTAACAATAGATGAGTAGCGCTTTTTTGATGTGAGTCAAAATTAGATTTTTATCGATGTTTCCTCAAAAACTGCTAAACTGATTTCAAAAATTTTAATCTATTTGATGGTACTTGAAAAGCACTCGCAATGTTTAGTTTTTTTATTTGAACAGATGAACCGTTTCTTTTTATTAGCAAAAAATGCAAAAAAATCGTCCTCGTTTTAGCCAAAAATCCTGAATCCATTTTGAAAAATCCAAACACTATAAGAAAGATATCATTTGAAAATCTTGCTGATTAGTTTTTGATCAAAATCGTTCATGCAGTCATAATGAACATGCAAAAATATTAGTTTTACAAAATATATAAAAGCTATATAAAGTTTGAATTAATCAATCACGCTTCAAAACTTACTTCCTGTATTTATTAGAGGCATGTTCGTAATAATCAGTAGAAAATTGAATAATCTGCAATAGTTTATAACATATTGATTTGGTATTGATTAAGTCAATTATTTACACAAGTCAGGAAATTCATGCAACTTGCCTTAAAGCAAAATGCTATTACAACTAGTTTTTAATTATTGTGCACATAGAATTAGATATGTTGTTAGGTTCCCACGCGTATCAGGTATTTCAATGCTTTTTATTTAATGTAAAATTTCGTAAAATAAAAAATCCGATGTGACACAGTAGGTATTATTATGCGAACGTGTAGATTAGATTATATAGCATATTCATTCTTTTAATCTAAGTCAATAAATCATACTTGTACTCGTACATATAAACAACTTAGCTAAATAACTATCATTTTTTCTCCACTTTTAGATTATATATGTAAATGGTTTCGCATATGCAAAGTTAATTGTGTAAGCTCCGCTTTAGTATCCCTATCGAACAAAAAGAACGTAATAAAAAAGATTACAAAAACCCCCATTTTGTTTTAATTCATATTGCAAACACGATTTTCTGCAAAATATGAAGCCAAGCACACTGGGTGCGGAAATTAATTGATCGGTACCGAAATTATTTCGGAACAAGGGAAAGTAACTTCGTTTTTTTCTAGGCATTCTGGCACGTAATTTTCGTACAATAAACCAATTCTTTAATAAATTTTGTATTGGCAGTTTTGATCGAATATCTTTTGTCATATTTCTGGTATTAGCATAATTTCAAGATCATAAATTTTTTGGTCGTTATTGCTGAAAAACTGGTCAAAGTGTTTTTTGACATGCTGATTTGAGGTAAAGGTTTTACCGCCTAAAAATTTTTTTAGTGACCGAAATAAGGGTCCGATGATGGCAGGTCTGGACAATATGATGAATGTGTGATTGGGTCCCATTCAAGCTACAAAAGCTTTTGGCTATTGACCAAACTTACGTGAGGTCTTGCGTCGTCCTGATGCAGTACTATACCTTGTTTGTGGGATAATTCTGACCTTTTCTAGAAGTACATCATTTAGTTTATCCAGCTGATGTCATAAGGCATCCGAATTAACAGTTATGTTATCCTGGAAATGCTGAAAAATGAACAATTTCTTTAAAATCTTACCAAACATACAGCATAGCTCTTTTCTGGCAAATTTCAGCTTTGCACCATTTTGAGCAGGTTCTTCTTTTTTGTTTCATGGGTAATTGTGTGTAGTGTATTCTTTACGTCCCATTTGCTATTCCTAATGACAATTCGCTTCAAAATCTGATAATTTTCAGGACTTTTCAATCGGAATCGCGGAAGCCAGTGCGAAGACACACGTTTCTCTCTCATTTCTATGCACATCATTCAATTTCAGTTGGCTCAAACAGTATTTTTACCTTTTCTACAGCAAAACAGTAAAATAAGTCAAAAATGCTGCTTAATGCTTTCCGTATTTAAAGGGGCACCATCCAAAAACTACTGCATGTAATTAAGTGTGATGTTAGGTTCAAAAAAATATAGTTAAATTCTGGTGGTAAAAAAACGAAGTGACTTTCCGAACAACCTTATATATTACAATTTTGCTTTCAATGCTTAATTACAATTTTCAGATTAACTATAGCACACGCCTCATTTGGCGGTCGAACTTGTGTGAACTACCACGATGTAAAATCAGGTCGTTGGCATTGTAATTACAGACATAGTCATACTGCTGATGTTAGAATATTGGAAATACCTTGGGATGGTGTAGCTATACAAAGAGACTGCATATGCTCTAATGAAACACTGCCAATAATTATATCCCCTTTGGCTTCCCATACTTTAGAACTGCATTTCAAGGTTCTTATGATGGGTGTTGAACAAGATTTCAAAGATTTTTCATATGAAGGTACATATGAGTTTCTTAGCGATGGCTGTGATACAGATTGGGATGAGAGAAAATTGAAAGGAATAAGCGGAAACCTGGAAGTGAGATTACCACAATGTCCACCTATTGCTCAACCCTGGCTAATTGAACCAGAACTCAATGCTAGTCATCTTGTTTTAAAACTTAATGGATTCTGGTTGCCTGTGAAACCACCAATGGAGTGTCCAGTGCATACACGAATAGTTGTTTATCCTGCTGGTAAGAACATTTGTTTTATTTTTTATATTCACAAAAAGATTATACATAGCAGAAATTAATACTTGTAAAATAACTGTACAATAATTATTTACAGTGATTAGAATTAAATTTTAGCATACTCATTTTTAGTATTTTTATTAACAGTTGAAAATTATGAATTTATATATAACTTCAATACCTATCACTAAAATTTCATTAGCATTTAGCCTTAAGCATCAACTTGTTAAAATATTTTTGAAAATCTTTTTTTTAATTGATACATACCTTACTAATATATATATATAAGGTAAATTTTTAGCATTTGAAAGGTAAATTAAAATGAACGTAGCTCAAAAATTAGCGCAGTTATCTTATATATTACAACAATCAATGGAATGTTTTCACCAAAATATTTACTTTTGTAATATTTTTTTTTTTTAACTTTAAATTATTAAATTTTATAATAAGTTGTTACTTTATTTTTAGCAAATCCTTCAACTTACCGAGAACTTTGTCCATTTGGCTCAGAAGTAGCTGTGTTTTCAGAGGGATTGAGAGCTCATAATATATTAGGTCCCCCTCATTTGACTCATTCAAGAAGTTTAATCGTAGAAATTAGGCAGTCCAATGCTCATGTATTGACAAACTATAGAATATCATGGATTGAAGTAATCGGTGGTCCAGATCACTTGCATGATTGTGCTTACAGGTAACTTATGATATTCAATCATTATGAAACTAATTTAATGATTCAGCATTTAGAAAGAGGTTAAAATATTTATTTTGTACCTACTCGCATTTAGTGTGTTAAGGCCATGAACTCTTTCTTCATGCGAATTTCCGTCAAAATAGATAGAAAAGATTCACAATTAATGACTAAGAAACGGCGTGGCCGAACTTGTCAGAAACTAATCAGCATGATTGCTTAAACTTCTTAAATTTTCAAAATCGGTTCACGATAATTGGCGAAAAAAATTGCACTTTTCCGCTTGTCAATCAGCCCGATCGTCTCACAAAACTAATCAACGCAAGTCGTTATCGCGTTTCATCGAATAGTCCAGTCATTATAGTAAGTTTACCTTGGAATTCGAGATACCCAGCTATAAGTCTGTAAATACTTATATATAGACACCTAAAAGTTGTATCAAAACCAACAATATGTTGCGTACACCCGACCATATAGGTTTTGAGACAACTTTCAGGTGTCAATACAAGTATTTACAGATTTACAGCTGGGTACATTTATATTCCGTGATTCTTACCTAATATAAGCCTAAATGACTGGACTACAATGGTTTTTAAGTTTTATGAATCGGTTCAGTTAGTTTTGTGAAAACTTCTACAAAATACATATTTTATCACATCACATCATAAGAGCAATGCACATTTTTCTAAAGCTGAATTTGTAAAATGAAACTTGTCGGGAGGGCCTTAATATTTTAGTATGTTCTTTAATACCGTAATCTCTACCATCATAATAAGTTTCGTCGAAGTCATCTGAACAAATTTTTCATATTTAATTACGAGAAAACGGCCCAGCTGATCTTTGCCAAAAATTAAGCAGCACGATTCCCATCCAATTTCAATCAAACAAATTTTGATTTTTTTAACTGAATTTTTGAAAATGTTAATTTAAGATAAAGGGCTTGAGCGATTAACGCTAAAAATGATAAACTCGAGTTACATCGACCGGCTTTAATTTTTTTTAGATAGTTGAAGCCGTTTGGATAAAATGCCGACGAAATATCGAAAAATCAACTCATATACACGCACACCATATCCTTTTTCCAAATTTAGTCTAATGTTGAGAAAACATAAAATTAAGAAATCGGATTTTCCACAAAATTATAAAATTCTCTTTCAGAAGTTAAAAAGTGGATTTGGCCTGATTTATAATATTCTGATTGTAGTAGGTCCTAAATATAAAGAATTACGTTTGTTTACGCAAGCAGAATGAAATTAATATTAACAATTCTGGTTTGGCTTATCCGTTAATTTGCTTATATATTTTGTTTTAGGTGCCCAGAGTTAGAAGCATGCCTTCCAGCTTCCCTTTGGTGTGACGGTGCCGTGCATTGTCCGTCTGGCCACGACGAGTCGCCAATAGTCTGCCACACTCCATCGCCTTTGAAACCATTATATGTCGGCCTAGTAGCAGCTGCATTTACAATTTTGTTAGCAACAATAGCAGGATTAACAGCATGTGCAAAACGTATAAGAAATGAGAAGAAGAGCAGTCACTTGCACAGTAATGGTGCACAATATCCAGTTCACACACATCAATTGCCTTTGCCCATTCATAACACACATCTAATGAATCACACTGCGCACCATTCTCATACTAGGCAGCTATCAGATGATCTATACTATGATGGTAAAGATAGTTTCTGTTGACAAGAAATGGAAACAGCTGTATAATAGTGATATTTTTATACGATAATAGTATAAAACACATTTTGGAATTTGTGAATGCAGTGTCTGTTATGACTGTGCTGCAGCCTTATTACATTGGCATCATAGCTCAATGAATGACTTCTATTGTTCTAATGACTGTTGTCAATATTTGTATTCACGATGTGGTAAGTTTTTTTATGAAATTGTATATATGTAGAAAATGACACCTATTTATTTTATTTAGTAATAATAATGTATTAATAAAAATGTTATTGTGTGAGCATGTATGACACTTGCTCAAATTATTTTAAACTTATCTAATATGAATTTTACATGAGGCCAAACTCAAGTATTGATGAAGTGTTATTAATATGTTTTAGTAAATTCAATTTTCAATTTTTATATGACTTGTGATGAAATTATAACGGTAAAATTTGATTTAAGATAATTTACTTTGAGCAAAGTTTACATAAGCCTTTAATCTAAATGAATGTTGATTTTTATTAGTTTTATTAGTTAAACTTGTGGATCTATTTTGAAAAGATGATACATTTATAAATAGAAGACCTATTTTATTATCTTACAATATGAAAACTAATCTATATTGCAGGATAAATATTTTTGTCAATAATAATATTTTTTTGGATATAAACTACAGCTACGGATGCTGCTCTTGCGGTATTGCATATTTTATGTATCACTGTTGCATTTTGCAAATAACCCCAAATAAATGTATTTTCATTTGACAAACATATATTTGTAATTTGTTACTTCATAATGTATACTAATATCCTTATTTTGAAGCATTGGGTTTATGGGAAATCATTGCAATATTTGATATCATCTTTATTTTGGCCTAATTGAGTCAGAAGTCTGAATGCAATATTAATATAAAATTTAGTTTTTATATTAAATTTGTATTATAATGCATACTGGTTACATAGTTGTATATTTGTATTTACAGTTATACTTATGAAAACAAATAATCCAATTGTTATTAAATGAATAATGGATAAGTCGGAAACAAAGATAATCATGATTCAATAAATAAATTTAAATATCTTTATCAAAAAAAAAATTTTAAATGACATGCAACTTATTTTGATAAGTTATGTTATTGTGTACGAATATAGTGATCTGTTGTAAATATCCATGAGTCATTCAACATCCTACAGAATGATACACATGTAGAAGCAATATGTTACAAATGTTGGAAATTCAAGTTTTTATTGCAATTGTTCATAATGAAGTGTTTGTCATTCATAGTAATAAATATTTTAGTTTATGATAAAATCACTGGCTAATGCAGCCTTCTGTTATGAGTACCTGATTAGGGTATTATGATAAATCTTTTTATATTGCATGTAAACCTACATTGATAAATAATAGACAGATAGCAATAAAATTACAGTATTGATGTAAGTATAATTTAATATTTTTTGTATAAAGTATGGGACAAATAGCTTGAATACTTATAATATATTGAAATTTGTATACACTAAAAATATTATCTGCTTTATATATATTCTAGAATCTAATTCGATGTAGAATGACTCATCAGACAGATGTACTTATATGTTAATCTGTGAAAAGTTAGTAAAAGTATATTATTCACAATTTCATTTATAAAGATTAAATTTTTAATAATTGTGCACTATTTCTCTCTGTTGAAACAAAAATATTTCGTTAAATAATTTTGCATAAGCACTGTACAAAATAAATAGCCATGATTGGCTTAAGCAATTAAATAAACTGTGCAGGATATTACATATCCTTTGGGTATATTTTCTTTTAAAAATTATACTCATACTGTAAAAATAAAATTTAAGTCTAATAAATTATAATACTTTATTTATATAAAATGAATGTAATTTTTTCATTTATAATTTTTCATCTTTACAATAAGTGTATGTATACGTAACTAACTCATTAATACTCATTGCTTGATATACTACTTCTTCTTGTTAAAATAACATCCTACATAACACAGGGCACAACATACGCACCATATCAAATATGAATCCAATTCAATTGTGCTGCTCTAGAAAAAAAAATTTACAGTCATTAAAATTCTCTCGCACATCTTTATATACATCTATTGCATCCGTGAGCATAGATAAGTAAGCATAAAATTTCCACGAGCGATCTGTTAGAATTTGTTGGCAACACGTTCCTTGGCATTGTATAAAAGTTCTTGTTTGAAAATGGAAAAATGAAAATGGAAAAATTAGCAGTCACGAGCCACTAATCGAATGGCATTTGAAAGGTATGATAAGAAGACGCATTTAGTGTACACTTTTATTATATTGCTGGTGGAATTTCATCGTCGATTTCTCTAAATTATTGATGACTTTATTCAATGAGTTTAATCACCCATTAATATTGCAATTGTAGTAGTTCACTTTTGTTGTATCGATTGAGCAGTAATTATCATAAATATATGAAATATTTATACACAATCAAATAATTTATATGTCGATTATCGATTTTGATACATAGATTTTGTATTTTTTTTCCTTAATTCAGGTTGCCGGTGAACCACAATTAAGGATAGTAGCTCTTAAGAGGAAATATCTGCGGAAGGATCAGAAAAACCCTCTAGATAGGGCGGATTTTATTCTAAGGCTTTGAGATATAAAGTTATTATACTTGTTTACTAGTTTACTTACCTACTAAGTCTCTTGCAGCTCAAGGCAAATAATAATTGAACAGTATGTCAAAACAAATTTACTGAAAATTATTACAAGCGGCTAATCGAATGGTATTTGAAAGGTATGATAACACGCATTTATCAAGAAGTTAGTGCTAACCAGTCAGCAGAACGTGTCACCATGGGGCTAAGTTCAATTCAATTACAAAACGTTACGTCAGGGGCAGTTGCTGATATACAGCTATAATATTATAGATTAATTATTACATATTTTATAAATTAAATACAATAACTTAAGAAATAAAGGCCAAAAGATAGTTTATATATTATAGGTAGCAAATAGAATAAATTATCAAATTTTAGAATTTTCTGTTATATAATATCATCTAATAATAAATTAATCATAATATTAGCACAAGAACTTGGAATGGTATGTTACATTTATTATTATTATTATTAAAAGTTTCATTTATTTATGTCATTGAGTAAATTCTTGCGCCATCTGTGATGGCAGTCTTTTAGCACTTGTAGTTTTGATCGCAATTCATTACTGATAATTTGAGTATCTATTCACAGTAATAAAATGAAATTTAATTAAATAAATATTTTGCTGCAACATTAATTTTGATGCTATGATAAATAAATATTTAGTTAAACAGTTCACATATATCTGAATCTTTTTAAATTCTCAATCTTTTAAAGACTAAAATTGTGGACTTTGCTCCTTTAAAGGGTTCATTCCATCCGAGCCAATCTAACAGTCCGAAACTATCCGCGCATGCGCAGAACACTTTTTTTGTTCCATCTAAAAGTTCGGACTTCCATCAGAGCAGTCCGAGTTTGAAATGTTGTGACGGTAGTGTGTTGTATACCCTGATGACAGGTGACAGGAGACCGGATGACACTTCAAGCGAGTGCAAGGTTTCTTTGTCCGCAGAGCGTCATTGCACAATCCATTTTAATCTCAGCCATCGCGGGAAGAAGATCTTGGGAAGCCAGTGGACAATCAAGTAAGTAAGTACGTACGTGCATTTGCCACATGTTAGTCGTTTTAATTTCCATTCATTGTACCCTGTCAAAGTAAAAGGTTGTATGGCCGAGTATATATCAGTATTTTGCATTAGTCATTTTATGTAATGGGCTTGAGAATTATTTGTGGATTCGTAGCTTATGCAGGTGTTTACATGATCTTCCCAAGGGTGCTACAAATACCCATCACTACATAATGACAGATTTTGATTGAGGTTAGTAACAATTTGAGAAGAAAAATGGCGCGTCAAATCTTATACGATCATAGATGAATATCGAGTGTTTTCATGCAGTTTATTGAGAAAAGGACCATTGATATTGCTTTGATGCAGATGGTCGTCTTTCAATTTCATTAGTCAGTTGCTTTAATGGTGTATATTTAACTTCCCGTAGGGCAAGTTATAGTAATCGCAAAAAAATCGAAAATGAAAATTTTTATATATCTTTACGTTTCAGAGGTTTCTGAACATTTTGGCATACCTTAGAAAAAATGGATGTATGTGTGTGTGTGTGTGTGTGTGTATGTGTGTGTGTATGTATGTATGTGTGTGTATGTATGTGCGGATACAAATTTTCGTCGACGATTTCGGGAACACGGATCAACCGATTTGAATAATTCAAAAAACATTCGATCCGTATTGATAAGGAGACGTGCTGATTAGTTTTTGGCAAAGGCAGGTCAAGCCGTTCCGAAGATACGGGGCAAAAAGTTTCGAAAACGGTAACTCAGTTTTTAAGAGAACGGAGCGTCCGATTTTAATAATTCAAAAAACATTTTTTTTGTATTGACAAGATGAAGAATCGATACAACTTTCATGAAGGTAGGTCCAGCGGTTTCGGAGATATAGAGGAAAAAGTAAAAAAATGAGCCATTTGGCGGTCAAAAATGATCATTAGACATATGCACATCAAATTATCAGACATTTTATAGAGATTTTAACAATAAGTATACATTTTGTTAACATTCCTATCGGTTCCGTACCAATGCTTATGCGTTAGACAGCGACGCGGCGCTTACGCGCTTTATATTTTGTCCTTATGTAGTTAAAGCAGTACGATTGCTTTGAAAAAAAAGTTCAGATCTTCCACAATATGTCAAAATAAAGAAAAAAAAAATTTTTTTTCAAAAAAATTTTTTTAAAGAAAAATTTTTTTTAAAAAAAATTTTTTTTAAAAAAAATTTTTTTTTTTCGAAAAAAACTATTTTTTTGTCCAATTTATAGTTTCTCAAAAATCTTATTTTTTCAAAGTAATTTTTTTTCAAAAATGTTAATCGTTTTAAAAAAATAATAATAATTTTTGGTACGGGAAGTTCCAGCAATTTGCCTTAAGGCACGATGCCCTAATTACCTTAAGACAGAATTCCACTTACAGCTAGTTTTTTTCTATATTTGCCTATATCGCATCAATTGGAAATCTTATCTGAATCGCTAGCGAATACAACATTTATTTGCTTTAAATATACTGGCTTGTGATGAACAAAAATAATTATGATAAATCAGATTCGAGCATAATAATGTGATTCTATTTTGAAATTGTTGAAAGATTTCAATTATTCTCAAAAATTCCTTAGAAAAATTCTATAATGCTAATACAATCAATGCTTTTTATATGAAATATTTTGTAAGTAAATGAAGCTGATTCATTAATTTTAATTT